AAACACTCACTTGTAGACAAGCATGGTGCTAACGCCACAGTACATGCTACTGTCTTCTCGGCTGCAAACCAAAGCTCTAGTGACACCACAACACTGAAAGTAGCTAAGTGCATCGAGGAATGATCACAAGGTAATTCTGTGCAGACCAGGCAAGGGTACGTAAGTTGTCCTATTGAACAGATCAAACTACGTGCCCAAAATGAATGAAAACTCAGTAAGAATGCAAACTTCCAGAAGAAAACCAGGGAAATGGACAAAACGGAACAGATAGAGCAAAAACTGTCAAAGATAATTGGAATTCTAGAGTAAAAGGATGTCATAGATACACGCACGTTCGAACTAATCTGGCCGTCAGGAAGGGCAATCCCAAGGTTGTACGGTTTACTCAAAGTGGAGCGGTGGTTTAGTTCTGTCATCGACGTGCTTTGTGTCATAAACTGATGTGTTACCCTACTTAACATTGAACTTTATCAACTCTCGTTTCTTACATTGTATCTTTTGTACTACGATTGTTGGAAGATTAAAGCCCATTTATGGTCAGATTCCTCTTCTGCATTACTCCGCATTTTTTGAACATAATTTTCTAACAATGGAACGTCTCTTCCGCCCCAAACTCTTTGACGCTGATCCTCATTCTCCTACAGCAACCGAGCAATGTATCCATCGGCGGGACACCGACATTTTTCTTAGAGTTAGGGTTCCCCGACGTCGATAACAGAAAACACCTCAACTTCATCTCTCCACCAATTTATCGACTGTTCCACTTACGAGGAGTTGCTGCGAAACATAGAAGCTCTGTATATCAAACCGAAAAACGAAGTCTTTGAGCACCAACTAAACAAGAAAATGGACAATCAGTCGATCAGTTTATACAGAAACTACGCAACCTCGCTGGTGACTGTAACTACTTGTCCATTTCTGCTGAAAAGCATGGTGACGAGGCTACCCGCGACGCTTTCATCACAGGACTAATGTATAATAGCATTCGCCAACGACTTTTGGAGAAGTACAATCTTCATCTTCAACATGCATTCGAAGAAGCTCGCATGTTGGAACATGCCCAGCAACAGTCACAAATCTGTGATTCAAGCTCCCATGCCCCCTGCGGTATTACATCCATGAAGCCAGATGTACCAGCTACGGTTCATATATGAGACCCTTGGGAGCCTCAACCCGAAAGACGGGAAGTAATCGGAGCAGTGTCTACCCTCTGCATTTTGTGGGCGATCAAGACACCCTTGCTCCAAATGCCCCACTCGGAAAGCTATTTGTAATTCACGTGGGAAGGGGCATTTCCTAGGGTCTGTCGATCCAATCCTAAAAAAACGCACAATTGCAGCAATAAATCCTTGCATCTCATCACTCATCGCTGCCATCATCCAGTGGGCTGTCGAAATCTACAGTGCTAGTTCACATTATATTATCTTATCTCAACACGAAACCAATTACAGAGAACCGGCAAATGTGCCACAACATATGATCAGAAAGAAATGTGAAGGTGTTCATAGGTTGTGTGGGCATGTTACTTCCCGG